CCCAGGAATGCTAACTATCAGTCCAGGTGTGTCTCCCCAACTTCCTCACCTCATCCCCAACAAATCAATCTTCTTATTTAAATCAAGTAAGGTCCCTAACTCTGCTACAAGGTTAATGCAATTGACAAGGTTTTGTTGAACCAGTTTCTTAGAAATGATTCCTTCCCAAGGTTGAGCTGGGAAAGTGCTGGCACCCTTGGTAGTGGCTGAAGTGGTCAGATCTTCACTGGCAGGCCTGTGCCTGACAGCAATGGGTCTTAACAATGAACTGATAAAGAACTGGAAGTTGGGGTAAAGTAAAATGGAGGTCATCTCTTTCTAAAACTGCCCTTTTCCTTAGAGAAAAAGACCCCTTTCTTGATATTCCCATCTCTGCAAGTCCCTCCTACATGGACACCCTCTAGAAATCTGTTCCTGAACAAGCGGCTCACAAGGCCTTCAGGCTGTCTGTTAAATTATAACAGGTTGCATCTCATAAACAAGTGTCCACAATGAAGTGGGGGCAGGTATAAAAATAGTCTGAAGGCTTACATTAGCTTAGGAGTGAACAGAGTTTACAAATACGGAAACACATGGGAAGATGCTTGTGTCAAATTCCCACACCAACAGCTTTTGTCTAGTCAAAGATTTTGATGGCTGAGTGGGTGCAAGTGTTGGGACGGAGGGATGGAGAAATTTGAGGGAGTTAATTGGTGTTTTGGTGTTTTATGCTGTTTAAATTCAGAGAAAGTGAGATGCATTAAAGCTAAAAAGACAATGAGTTCTGTTCTGATGGCAACTATGCAAAAGTATGTGTGCGGATAGGGACTTGGTGTCAAATACAAAAATAATAGTTGTTAGGAGAGGTAGGAGTATCGGCAACTTCCTCCTGACCTCTTCATACTGTTTAATGTTTTTCAATCAAATGTTTTTGACTTTTCAAATTTTGTTTCTTGCCTCTCTGGTTACCTTGATCTTATAAAATCACAATTTCCTCAAATTCCTGTTTGTTGTCCATCACCGAAGTCTTTAGTGTGTATGTCCATCGCAGCAATTTTTAGAGCAGAAAAACCCAAGACCATGTTTTACAGGATTGCTTAAACAGACTGATCGATAACAATGGAAAACTATAGACCTTTAACAAAGAAGAGCTGGATCTGAATGTGTTGGGATGAAATAATTGCAAAGAATTATTATGTGAACGAAGCTGAATTTAAGACAGTGAATTTAATGTACACTTATTTGTGTTTAAATATGCATATATAAACACATAAGTGAGTGTAAACACAAACACAGAAAATTTCTGGAAGGATAACTAAGACAGTTGAGAATGATCACCTCTATCTGGAGAAGGGATGTGAGGTGTGTAGTAGATTCCCCTTTCATGATATAAACTCCTATACTCTTGGAAAAAGAGTCCTGGTATGGTACTGTAGGATCAGTACTGGACTGTGAACCACAAGGTTGGTGGCTCAAACCCCAGCTGCTCCTTGGAAACCTTATACAGGGTCACTATGAGTCTGAACTGACTTGATAGCACATAACTGTTTGAAAAAAAGGTATGGGTATATATATGTATGTGCTGTTGTTAAGTGCTGTCAAGTTGGTTCTAAGTCATAGTGACCCTATATAGGGTTTCCGAGGAATTAGGGTATACGTATATTGCTTTTTAAAAACGTATCAGTGTTACCTTTATAACAAGCCTTGTTAACTTTCTAGGCAAGACTCTAAGGGTATTCTTCCTAAGTAGTTTTAAGACAGAGGAATGAAAAGTCCTATTCTTATCCCCATACTCAGAAAACAGACAATCTGATTGTGTCGAGTTGTCAAAATGTGGAGGCGATGTGTGAAAAACTAAATATGCTCATCTTTTAGAGGGGGATGTATTGAGCAGTACATACATAAATGTGACTGAAGAACTGGGTCAGCCTCCCACCAGGCCTTCCGAAATAAAGCAGCAAGGAAATGAGCTCTTCACTCTTCTCTTCTTGGAGGGCTCAGGGGTGCTCTGAACTTTCAAAGGAACACATCACTCCTGACCCAAAGAACAATCCTAAAGCCCTTGTGATCATGTTATCTCCCAGATATTGTTTACAGTATTTGGACGAAACTCAAACCATCCCAGTTCTCTCTGGGTCTACATCAGTATTTTATAGTTTCATAGAACCAAAACAATGTGCCTGGATGCAGAAGATCAACCTGAACAAGGAAGGCCACTTAAACACCTTTTAGCCTCCATATATGGACCCATTCCTGAGTCCCTTTGCAGAATACACTATGTGGCTTGCACTTTAACATTCTGACCACTTTTAAAAAGGGTACATAGCCCTTAAAAGTTTTAGCCTTAAAACTTCTGTTTACACATATTTCAGATTCTAATAAGATGTAAACTCATGAAATTTTATCATTCTCCACTAGGCATTTCAGCCTAAAGAATGTTCGGTGCTTTCCCACCAAGGGCAAAACTGAGACAGTGGACAAAGTAGCCTCTCTTATATGACTTAATGCCTGAGATGAGCAGAGGGAAGAACCCCTGGCTTTGAGATACTCTGGAGCCAAATAATGGCAGGTTTGGACACGGAGGAATAGGGGGTGGAAATGATCTTGTTGGTACAAAGGGCTGTAGGGTGCTACACAGTAAAGAAAGATGGAAAGCTAACAAACAAGGGCAGAGCCATGGGATGCCCTTATCTTAATCAGCCCATCTTTTCCTCCAAACACACTAACCCCAAAAAACTAAAAGGGAAGCATTTTCTTTAATAAAAAAAATCATTGTGTTTAACACATTTCCTCATAATTTTTGATACAGCTCTTGTTCATGATAGTCTTCATCACTAGCATGTATACAGAGCCAGCTCTGGTCTATTTAGAGCTTTTATTTGCAAGGTATTCCCCCTCACTCTTTCTGATTTTTCTATCATTTTAAATCTTACTAGTACCTCCAGTGAGTCCTGGTGTAGTGCTGTAGGATAGGCACTGGACTACAAGGTTGGCAGGTCAAACCCACCAGCCACTCCTCAGAAACCCTATACAGGGTCACTAAGAGTTGGAACTGATTGATAGCACTTAAAAATAAGAAGAAGTACCTCTAGAGGGGGTGGGGTGGGGTGGGGAACCTTTTTTGTGTCAAAATTTATAACATCATTCGTAGGCCATACAAAATTATCAACTTAAAAATTAGCTTGCTATATTTGGTCAAACATTTAATTAACTCACCCCCAATGTGAGGGCTGGCACTGTCCTTGCTTTGGCAGGACCAGGTCAAATGATTTCACAGGCTTTATAAGGCCTGCGGAACAGACGTTCCCCACACCTGCTGTACAGGAGCCATGGTGGAACAGTGGGTTAAGCATTGGGCTGCTAACTGAAAGACCGAAAGGTCAGTGCATCAAACTCACCAGCCATTCTGCAGGAGAAAAAGGAGGCTGTTTGTTCCCATAAAGATTTACAGTCTCAGAAACCCTAAGGAGCAATTCTACTCTGATCTACAGGGTCAGTATGGGTTGGAACTGACTCAATGGTAGTGTACTTGGTTTGTCTTCTTTTGGTTTTTAGTACCTCCAGAGTAGTACAGAGCAAGAAAGAAAACCCATTTATAGACCATTCTGGTATACACTGCTTTTATTCTTGATTTTGTTGTTTTTGTTAAGTGCCGTTGAATTGATTCTGACCCATAGCGACCTGTATGGGGTTTCCAAGGAGCAGCTGGTGAGCTTGAACTGCCAACCTTGCAGTTCAAAGTGACTCTGCAGTCCAGTGCATTAACCCACAGCACCACACTAGTGGCTAAAATGGTATCTGTGAATTTGATTAGCTATGCTTTGTCCCATGATCACAAATAAACTTGAACTGGTTGCACTTCTAGAAAGTAAAATTGCTTATCTGCCTTCTCTCTATTGAAGTCAAGTGACCTCAATACTTTTCATCAATAAGCCTCTTTACTGAACCATCTAGCCTTGGGCACAGGTTATGAGTTTAAGTTGGGGAGAATTCCCACTATGTCTAACACTGATCCCCCCAAATCAATGCATTGAGCTTTGTCTTAAACATAAGTTTCTCTGTCATCGAGGACGTGTTCTCACAGGATTTATCTTTAAATATTTCATTATCTCATTGATCTTTTCTCCAGATTTTTCCTTATCACTCTCTAAATCTGAAGCTCCAAACTGGAATGCAGTCTAGCACAGGCTGTGACAAAATCTGGTGTGGGATCAGCTCCCTCCCAGTTTCTACAGTTTTCTTTCCTCTGTGGATGCTGGCATTCCAGCTGCTGTCCTTCATAGGCTGTCCTCTCCAGTCTGCGGAGCAGCTGCTGACTCATGCTCACTTTGGGATCTGCTAGGACTCTGCCACAACAGCCACCACCCACTTCTGCTCTGGCCTGGCGAGAAGTCTCATACAAGTCTGTATTTCCTTACCTGCCCCTCACCCCCAATCCCAGAAGCCCACCTGAAAGACGTCGTTGGCACACTTGCGGCACAGATTGTGTTGGCAGGGCAGGATCACCACCGGTTTGGAGAACATCTCCAGGCAGATGGGGCAGATGAGCTGCTTCTCCAGGTTGTCCATGCTGTGTGCATCCCCTAGCAGCGGCTTGAAACCCACTGTGAAGTTCATCCCCTCAGCCCTTGCTCGTGCCTGCCCTGGCCCTGGTCCTGGCCTTCTCTCACTGCCTCTAGACCCTTCCTCGTTTACTTTAGAAAGTCTGTGGACTCTTATGGTTCCTTCTGTTGCTCACTCTTGAAATAGCTCTCCTGTCCCTTCCTCTAACAATTTGCCTCGTCCTTAGATAGCTTTCTCCAGGCACTTCTATCTTGCTCTATTCTCTGCTCTGTGCCTTAGCCAGGCACAATTAGCTTTATCTATCACTCCCTCTGTCCCTGGAAAAGTCTCCTTTTGTTCCTCCAAATGACTCTTGTTCACTCCCTGGGCAGCACTGTTTGTCTCTTACTCCACAGAGAAGAGATTAATTTTAATGTGGGGGTGGGGAGACAAGGGGCATCTGCATGTCATTCCAACTCCCAATTTAGCTCATGTAAGGCGAGCCACAGCTGTCATTGAGTGAGTGACCCTGACTCACTCAGGAATGGGTGACTCTCTTGAGCAACAGCAGAGGGTGAGCTTCGTTGTTTAGGGGGAAAGGTGGGCCAGCAGAGGTGCCAGGCTCTCATTTACTTCTACTCAGAAGGCTCCCTGAACTCCTGACCTCCATGCTCTGGCTTGGGTTCTGACAGAATTCTAAATCAGCCTGTGCATGGCTCAGGGTAGGAAGAAAACTCTTGCCAGACCTACAGATAATGACAGTTTCCTCTTGTACCTCCTCCTCAAGACCCTGTGACTCAGTGACTCTTGTGTAACACTAGCTCATTTTTGTCTCTGCCCAGTTCTTTTCTTCTATCACTCTAGGAAAAGGAGCTCAAGAGGTTAGAGTAGGCTGTTGTGTCAGGGTCTGTAACGATGAAAATGCCCCATGAAAGTATAAGGCTTGGGTCCAGGAACACCACTGGAACCACTCTAAGGACCTTTCACTTTGTTAGGAAATTGGTAGAGACTGAGCTGGGCACAGAGGGCCTGAATGCCAGGGACCTATTTTGGGCACCAAGGGAATCAGTCTCCAGGGAAATTTTAGAGCACTGACAAAATACATAATCACAAGGCTCTGAGAAGCTTCTGCCCCAACCCTGCAGTTGACTCTTCTCCAAGCCAGGCTGGTCCCCAGCTTTTTCTCCTACAGGTGTTTTTCTCTATCTGAGGTATTGCTAGCTGTTTTTTTTGTTTGTTTGTTTCTTTTGCCCCAACATATACACTGGGATTGGACAAAAGCTCTTTATTTACTAACATTTCTTATCTCTTCATCTCAGTCAGGATAGAGAAGTTTGAGGACTTATTAGACTCTGACAGCGGGTGGAAGGGAACTAACTGGTGTAGTGGGGATACCAAACAGGCAGAACAAAGACACATGGGAAAAGGGTCTGTAAAAGTCCTTTTCCTATTCTGTGTCTCATGACCCTATTTTAAGAATACAATATATGGCAATCAGCGTGTAAATGATGTGGTAAAAAGGACAGAGGCAAGCAGGCACTGAAGTGTGAACTCTTATCAACTCACAAGACCAATGTTAATAGTTGCTGTGCTGTTAGATGAAGCCCAGGGAAAAACCAAAGATGGGATGATTAGTACCAAGCCTCAAATGCACTCATACATCTCCAGAGTTGACTCACTGTAGCCTGTCATGGGGTGGCAATGCCAAGGGCATGGGCACCAGAAGAAGGTGAAATCAGTCCCAGAAAGGTGTAGTGGCTTAAGAATGGGACTGACATGAGTCCTTGGTACACAGAGTTGCAAGAAAGGAGGGTTAGCTGGTGCAGTGGCCCCAGGAATGAGGTTCACCCTGGCTAGTCATCGAGATCTTAATGGAGCTATCACAGGTGGCTTGGGAATCATAACACTTGATACTGGTTCAAATCCCAAGGAAGACAAAAGGTAGGAGAGTCCTCAGGAAAAGTCTGTCACCACTGCCTGAGGCATCATAAGGAATGGGGTGGGAGAGCTCCTCTGTGATCAACTGAAATTGGTACTGGAGCTAAAAAGAGTAGCTGAGCGACCCTGTATGACCAGGGTTGATGGTACTATCAAAAGCAGAGATGGTATCCTCCCTGGGATGGACAACATCAATGCTTCTGAAGTTGGGGTTCTTATAACAAAAGGGATCAAATCAGATTCAATGTCAGGACAAGGCTATTTGCTCCTCTCTTCAATGTAGACTGGGCAGCAGAAGGCACCCTCACTAGGTCAGCACCTAGGGGTAAAAGATGTAAGCATCTTAATAACTAGAAGAAATGACCACCCTGAATTTAAAACAAATCCCATCAACACGTGTAGTCAATACTATAAGAATAGAAACTTTTCACTAATCATTTATCTGGTTAGTCTATATCCCTTCCTTGTCCTTTATTGTTGCCTTTCAGTTTTCATACCTGACTCTTCTGCATCTTTTAATAATCATCTTCATTGTCAAAATCTTCCCCTCTTCTAAAATTGCTTTTGGATGCTATAATGTAATTTTAAAAAAGAAAAATATAAACATTTAGTGAACAATTTTTTTTAGTCTACTGGTGAGAAAATCGTGACCTTGTAGTTACTGGTTAGCATCACTAGGTGGCAATGTGTGTGTGAACTTCAGTCAACCCATAGTTTTAAAATTTAATGATTTGGGGTGGAATTAATCTCAAACACGTCATCTTCCTTCTGAGTAAAAGTAGTAAATTGCAGCCTCTAAACTGTTTTCAACTACTGCCCTTTCTAGGCATATTCCCCCACCAGATTCCTTAGCTTAATAGTCATAAGAGGCCAACACTACATTTAACCTGTCAGTGTGGAGTATAAACCTTGCAAAAATGGATCATATTTGCTTCTTTTAAGTCACTTATTTAGGGCTTCACAATTTCATGGGGCTTTCTTACCTCCAATTATTTTTTTTTCATCTTAATCCATATTTATCTCAGTGTTGTTGTTAGGTACTATCTAGTCCATTTCCACTCATGGCAACCCACATAACAGTAAAACTGCCTTATGGGTTTTCTAGGTTGGTGTGGCGCTGTAGGATGAGCATTGGACTGCTAACCACAAGGTTGGCAGTTCAAACCCACCAGCCACTCCTAGGAAACCCTATGCAGGGTTGCTAAGAGTGGGAACAAATTCCACTGCATTTAAAATCTTTTAGAAGCAGATCACCAGATTGTTCTCTCACAGAGCAACTTTCAAGCACTTACAGACTGTGCCACCAGGGTTCAACCTTAGTCCCTGCCTATTGTTCTCACCTGTTCTTGAAGGTTGATTCCGGACATTCTGTTGATAGTTTCTTTTAACTGTCTCATCAGTTGGTGGCTTAAGTGCTCCACAGCAAAAACAGCAGCAGCAACAGAAACAGCAACAAGTAAGCAGGCAACATAGGAGGACAAGCGTCTACAAGGCAGGAGAGCATGGTCTCACTCCCTGCTATATTCTCATGCATACTCCCCTCCCTAAATTCTTCAAAAAACCAAACCAAACCGTGGCCATCAAGATGACTCCAACTCATAGCGACCAGATAGGACAGAGTAGAATCACACCCTGGGGTTTCTAACGCTGTAATCTTTAAGGGAACAGCCAGCCTAATCTTTCTCCCAAGGAATAGATGGTAGATTTGAACTGCTGACCTTGTAGCTAGTAGCCCAATGAGTAACCCACTATGTCACTATAGCTCCCCGAATTATCCTATCACCCAGAAAATGAGAGGACAGATGCATTTTTACTAGGAGAGGAGGGTCAACTGGCCTTTTCTTTGGTCTTAATGGACTAGATAGAATTGTGTACCTTGAACCAACAACTATTCATTACAAAATAGTATCTGACGCCTTCTTCGCCAAAGTGATCATAAACATATATTCCCAATGAGCCATGCCGGTCATAGACTTTCCGCTTCTTAGGGTCACTCAGTACGGCATGGGCTGTGTTGATCTCTTTGAATATTTCTGCGGCTTGAGGATCTCCTGGATTCTTGTCTGGATGATACTTCAAAGCCAGTTTCCTATCCAGGGAACACCCATCAAGAAGGGTGGAGAGAGGTTAGGGGATGGCTAGGGAGGGAGGGTTAGGATGAATTATAGGGATGGGCCACTAGATAATACGGAAAGAATGCATGAGATGTGGTACAAAAGATGGGAGCAAGGAGCTAGTCTAAATTCCTTCCCATGAAGAGGATGCTGGCCCATCTGACCCCAAAGTGAAGACTTAGGGATTTAAAGATGGGTTCATAGAGAAAGGTAGGGAGAAAAGATTTAGGGCAGGGACTCCAGGGTTCAATAAGGGGCTGAAGTTTGAACCTGTAGGACTTTTTTACATCTTCTGGTGAGGCCCCCTTTTTAAGCTCCAGCACTGCATAGAGGCTTTTTCCACTTTTGGACAGTCGGCGCGCTGCTTCATCCAGATGAGTCATGATCTGGGCCAGAGCAGAAGTAGAATTTGTGAGAACCTCCACAGATGAGGTTGTGAAGAAATTAACTTTCAGTGCCAGGGGAACTCATTGTCTTCATGGACTATACGCACATAACTGACTACAAAGGGGCAAGTATAAGATATTGCTGAGTGGGATCATGACTAGCAGGAGAGTGCAGTGCCCAGAGAAAGCATTTATATTTTAAAGAGGAAACATGCTCCCCTCACATTTCTCAGTGTCCTGCAGCTACCCAGACCTCCAGATGCCCAACATCCTAGAGTGCTGAGTTATGGGAAGAGCCGGGAGTTCTTAAGGACTTAAGGAAACAGCCCTGGGCTGTCCAATCTCCTTGCGGGGTTAAAAACACTGCGGGGGGAGGGGGGAGAGGGGCAGCTAATAACAGATTGGATCAGGAAACAGGGAGATCCAAAATCACAAATGGAGAAACCATTTAGGCCAAATCCTGTGCTGCCTAAGTAAAGTTGGGTGCACAAAAGTCAGGTCAGACGGCAGTGCTTGTAGTTAGGTCAGGAGACTTTCTTCTTCCCCCTAAGCTCCTGCTCTCAAACTAGGGGCGTCCCCTCTTAGTCCCTCAAAGAGGAGGCAGTGGAGAGAACAGAGGGATGATATCCTGGCTGAAGAAGGAAGTGGAATGTGTTGCTGTGCGAGTAGGGAAACATGGCACCAGGGAGCAGGACCCCAGAGTGGCTTGGGCGGTCTGCGGCCCAGGAGAACCAAGGCGACAAATTGAGAAGGGTATCTCCACTTTCAAAGCTTCCCTCTGGCCAAAGGGTTGCCTACACCTTCGGGACTTAGCCCTTTACCCCTTCTTCGTTGCTCTCTTCAGCTGAGTCCGCCTTCCACACTCAGGTGTGAAACTTCACACAGCCGGCTCGGCGGCTAACTGCGAGCGTGGGCTGCGCCTGATTACTATGTAAGTACACCCTGACGCTAAGACGCTCCCA